TTTTTCAAGAAAAAACCGACCTGTGAAATACACCTTTGACGAAAAGTTTAGATGGCTACGTGCAGGCGTCGAGTTTTACAGTCTATTTTAGATAGAGCCTGGAGACTTGAACCACCCTCTACTTTCATCGGAAAGTGAAAGAAAAAATACTTTAAGTAAAATACAATTACATACGTAGAGAATTTATACTTCAAGTAAAGAACAAGTTGTCTAAACTTGAAGTAGTACTTGAAGTATCAATGTATACATTGATGCTTAAAGTACTACTTCAAGTTTAGACAACTTGTACTTTGCTTGAAGTATGAGAAAGCCTCTTCCATCCCAAAGCCAGCGTTCCAGCGGGAGGGGGAGGCGAAGTTCGCGTCTGTTGCCGTTTCACATCCCAGTTTAGCAGTGCTGGGAAGTACTTTAGGTGAGTACTTTCCAACGCTACTAAACTGGGATGTGCGACGGCAAGAGACGTGAGCTTCGCTTTCCCCTTCCGCTGGAGCGCTGGCTTTGGGATGGAGGAGGCTTTCTTTAGAGACGCTACGCACGATCGCCCTGACCGGCCCGCCGGTCGGGGCTCCCGCGATATTAAAAAAAAAAAAAAAAAAAATTGAGAACTACATTTTGTGTTGCCAGTGCACTGCATTTGCCACAGTGGTGCGGGAGAGTTCGTGAATTTTCAGCATACCAATTCCGTTCAAATATGGCGGTGATTGGAGTTCCGGATTAAATAAATGCGGAGCGCAAGTTCGTCTGCTTCTTGCACAGGGGTTGCGACGATGTCGGAACGCCGAGCTCTTACTGACGAAAAAAATCCCTGGAGAAGGGGAACTAGAGGGACAAATGACAAACATATTCGTCTTTCTTGTCCAGCTCGCTTGCACCTTTGCATTTAATTGTATTATAGTCAAAGCTCTTAATGATCGATTGAAAAAAAAAATAAATAGTGGGACCTCGAGGCATCTAGCGTTGATGTCTACCTACTATCCTTCCAATCAAAGCCAATCAGAACTCGGCGTCGTTTGACGTCACCGCAACTCCTGCGCAAGAAGCAGACGACTTGTTCTCCGAATACCACCTAGAAGATAATGCCCCCCCCCTCCCTCTTCCCCAAACATTATCACTGGTGGATTCCCGCAGCGCCGCTTCAGCGTCGCCGCCGAAGCGTCTTGCAGCGTCTCACAAGGAGTGCGACGCTAGCATGTGGCGACGCCAAGGCGGACGTGCCTGCCGCTTTCTGGCGTCCCTCGTCGCGCTTTAGTGTGTTTGCCGCTCGGTCGATGATCCACTACCAATGACGTCATACACAGGCCTTGTCTTCTAGGCGGTTCGCGTTTTTTTACAAGCCGACAACCATTGTTGTACGAACGCGAGAGACGCGTATTAAGGGGTATCCACACGAAGGAGAAATCCGCCACGTTCCTCCGCGGATCGCGCATCACGTGAGACATACGTCATCCCTTTTTCACGCCTCGCGGCGCGTTCTCCTCCGTGGCGGAGGCGCGGAGGCTTTGTGCTGACAGCATGAAAGCTCCGCAAGTGCACGCGGCGGAGCCGGGGACGGAGTTTCCCGGGATGTTGACGTCACGACATCCGTCCGCGGAGTTCTCCTTCGTGTGGATACCCCTTTATGGGGTATCCACACGAAGGAGAAATCCGCTCCTTTCCTCCGCGGAGCGCGCATCACGTGAGACATACGTCATCCCTTTTTGACGCCTCGCGGCGCCATTCTCCCGTTCTCCTCCGTGGCGGAGGCGCGGAGGCTTCGTGCTGGCAGCACGAAAGCTCCGCAGGGGCACGCGGCGGAGCCGGTGACGGAGTTTGCCGGGTTGTTGACGTCACGACATCCGTCCGCGGAGTTCTCCTTCGTGTGGATACCCCTTTAAGGGGTATCCACACGAAGGAGAACTGCGCGGACGGATGTCGTGACGTCATTAACCCGGGAAACTCCGTCTGCGGCTCCGCCCCGTGCACGTGCGGAGCTTTCGTGCTGACAGCACGAAGCCTCCGCGCCTCCGCCACGGAAGAGAACGGCGCCGCGAGGAGTCAAAAAGGAATGACGTATGTCTCACGTCATGCGCGCTCCGCGGAGGAAAGGGGCGGATTTCTCCTTCGTGTGGATACCCCATTAAGGGGTATCCACACGAAGGAGAAATCCGCTTCTTTGCTCCGCGGAGCGCGCATCACGTGAGACATACGTCATCCCTTTTTGACGCCTCGCGGCGCCGTTCTCTCGTTCTCCTCCGTGGCGGAGGCTTCGTGCTGTCAGCACGAAAGCTCCGCAGGTGCACGCGGCGGAGCCGGGGACGGAGTTTCCCGGGTTGTTGACGTCATGACATCCGTCCGCGGAGTTCTCCTTCGTGTGGATACCCCTTTAAGGGGGATCCACACGAAGGAGAAATCCGCCACGTTCCTCCGCGGATCGCGCATCACGTGAGACATACGTCATCTCTTTTTGACGCCTCGCGGCCTCGCGCCGCCGTTCTCCTCCGTGGCGGAGGCGCGGAGGCCTCGTACTTTTAGCATGAGAGCTCCGCAGGTGCACGCGGCGGAGCCGGGGACGGAGTTTAATGGGTTGTTGACGTCACGACATCCGTCCGCGGAGTTCTCCTTCGTGTGGATACCCCTTTACGAGCGGGTGCTGCGCTGTCATTCGCTTCCAAGAGCTGCTCATTTCAGCGCATCGCCGCCCGCCACGCGCGATGAACGCATCGTGATCCGGTCTGGAATGTAGGTTGCAAAAGAACTCTGGAAGCTCGCTGTCAGCACGCGCTTAATCACAGAGTACACAGCCGCCGCGCGATCGAAAGCGTCGCTGTGGTCGGCCTATACCACGATTGGCCGACTGTTGACTATGACGTAAGCGAAGGATTTATCATCGTCAGAAATAACAGTAATGCAATAACTTTAACTGTGACGGCGTTGGCAGTGTTTATTTCAGAACGCTATGTATTCAAGCTTCCACCATGCTCATTACAAACACATGCATGGAACTTGTTGTTCGCAAGGTAATGACGTCACGAGAAGGAACCATATATAGAGTGCGCCACCGAAACATCTCGCCGCTAATAGACCCTTTTTTGGCAGCTGTAGAATCCCTGCACAATGGCGGACTAGAACCTCAACGTCATGGCACACTGGAAAAAACACCCACAAAAACATGATGAGCGCAGTGACGTTGCACTTTCGGCGCTGTTTAATTGGCTCGTCGGCTCGTATACTCTGTTTCACCTCACGTTGTACCGCGGAGAAGGCTACAAGCGCGAGCTCCTTGCTCTAGGGCACATCTGGGCGGCATAAGCTCTCGTGCGTTAAAAGCAGCTCCTGACGCTATGAGCTCGCGCTTCTAGCCTTCTGTGCGGTACAGCATAAGGTGAAACGGAGTATAGTGTTTGTCGCGCTCCGTCGTTCGCTATCATATCGAATGGCTTGTTCCGCCGATGTGCAGTGGTTCCGACCTCCTAATAATTAGAACGTTACTTTCAAAAGCACTCTATTAGTGGCGAGATGTTTTAGTGGCGCCCTCCTATGGTTACCTTTCGTGACGTCATTACCTTGCGAACAACACGTTTGATGGTGTTTGTGAGGAGCATGGTGGAAGCTTGAAATCATTGCGCTCTTAAAGCAACACTACCACCACCGACGAAATTGAAGCTCTTCCATTCCTCCTATTTCCGTCGATGAGAAATGAGGGCGCAGCTACATGCAGGTTTTATGCCCTCACCTGGCCACGGTCCCCCCCTCGTGGAAGAAGACCCGGGCGTCCCACCCGACATTGAAGAGATCAAAAAAGAGGAGAGGGCTGCCAGGAAGCTCAGACTCGGCGCCCCTCTCCCACCCGATGAAGACCCTGTCCCTCCTGGTTACAGCAGGTGGGAACGGGTCTGCAAACGCAGGCTTCAAACGAAGACGGCAATTACCCCCATCTGGCTGGCGAGGTTTCACCGCCCGTCCACACCCGAAGACGTCGGCCCTGATCCGCTCTGCATGCACTGCGGGATTCCAGCCACGTGCACCCATCTCGTCTGGACGTGCGAGGGGGTCGCAGAGCATCGGAACGACGCCATTAACTCACTCCCTGAAGAGGCAAGACCAGCTACGTACGAGGACTGGACCCGCCCCAGGCTCGAGCACCCGCACCGCAAACACATTCTCGATTCCCTGATTAGTTTCGTCCGCTCATCGGGGATCGCCTGTTACATTTAGCCTCCTCCCCCTACCCTTCCCATAATCCCCTTCCCCCGTCACGATTGGATGACTTTATCAAGAAATCGTGATGTATCCCATTCCTTTAATAAATACGTTTTCTCACTCACTCACCTTTGCTGACGTCATAGTCAGCATTCGGCCAATCGCGGAAGGCCGACCACAGCGACGCTTTCGATCGCGCACGTCACTGGACGCCATATTTGAGTGCGCTGTTTAGAGCGCATGCTCAGAACTAGCGCGCAATAATACGCTGCTAAAACCGACAATCTTGATGGTGTGGAATGCACGTTGCAAAAGAACTGTGGAAGCTAGCCGTCAAGCACGCGCTCAGCAGTCGCGCACACAGCTATGGCCGCCATGTGCTTCCGCAGTCCTTTGGGAGCGTGCATTTAGCACCATCAAGGTAAACATCGCCCTCAAATATGGCGTCCAGTGAATACCTCTTATTGGCGACGTGCGCGATCGAAAGCGTCGCTCTGGTCGGCCTTCCGCGATTGGCCAAATGCTGACTATGACGTCAGCAAAGGATTTCTCATCGACGGAAATAAGAGGAATGGAAGAACTTCAATTTCGACGGTGCTGGTAGTGTTGCTTTAAAAGCGCAAGGATTTCAAGCCTCCACCATGCTCCTTACAATCACCATCGAACTTATTGTTCGCAAAGTAATGACGTCACGAGAGGTAACCACAGGAGGGCGCCACTAAAACTTCTCGCCGCTAATACTCACCTAATGACTGAACTCTGGCACTGTTTTGGTGGTTATTAATAGAATGAAACGTTCTTTTTTCTTTCTCCTTCTCCAGGCAGAAGTGTCTTCGCCGCCACCGTATCAAGAAGAGTCGTCGGCTCACAAAGGATGTCTGCTTCAGCAGGGATTTACCTCACGGCATCTCAACAACTAATTACCCTCAGTCGTCACACATAAACAAATATTTTCTTGTTTCCTTTCTCTCTCTATCTCTCTCTTTGCAACTGCCAGTTTTGGAAACTATGAAAAAATGTAAGTAGTGCCAGATAAACTCTCTTCGAAATTCAGTCTGGCAACTTTGATCACTATCATTATCTCAGTGAATGGCGTCCCATGGTATCTGTGCCAAGCTAATGGTGGCCTTCATGAAACCCAGCAGTATAAATGGACCAGCTGTATAAATCAAGGAAGATAGAAGGGTAGGAGAGGGCATGGACATCAGCCGCGTAGCCCCCACAAGCCATGCTCCCTTGACTCCTCGCCTCTTTCTCATTTTCCTGAAATAGCATAAAGAATGCTATTGTAATAAAACTGAAGGTCGGTTATGGCAGCGCTCATGCGCTGCTGCTGCAAAGCGTCTGAGTTGAAATGTGGTGGCGCCAGTGTGCAAATAGCCCCCAAAACACTTCCGGTTTTGAACTAGATGGCAGGTTTCGCTGTATTTCCGAAATTAAACATGCGCACTATCTTCTGGAAATGGCAACTTATAACACTGTCAAACTTAATTTCTTCTTATGATAAAATAATGATGAGTAAGAAATTGGGAAATATACGTGAACCGGAAGTGTGACGGGGCAGCCCAATAGATGGCGGCACTGAGCTTGTTGCCAAACAAAAAAAAGGGGCGCATACACTATACTCAGTTTCACTGTTACTAGGGGCTCTAACTTTTACGATAACTTGGCGAACTGTGGAGGCTGCGGACCCTGCGGCCCAATAAGGGCGTCGGAGCAAGGCATGTAACAATACTCCATGGTCGAGGCCACGGAGGCCTCGTTACCGTTAGAGTCACTCTATGTGGCAGCGTAGCTGCCAGAGTAGCGCCACGCTTTTCCCTGTGCCGCCTCTCACCGTGATTGGTCACACGCGGTACCATAGCAACGAGCTGAGCTGGCTCGGTTTCCTTAGCAACCGAGTGACTACTCGTCACGTGACCTCCCAAGAGCCGCGATGTCACCGGTAAGATGGCAGCGCCCAGAGCTGGTGGATACGAGTTTGTTCGGTGCGCGGTAGTCCTAATGTGCCGCTGCTTGCCGACGATTTCGGACTTCTTTGTGCTCTCTGACGCAGGTATAACGTCAAGATCTGAAAGAATGTTACTTTATACCTTCTTTGTGCAAGATCTTTCTGAGTATTAGCACCTGTGCGGCAGCATCAGTCATATTGCCGTAGCGGTGCTCGGATTCCTAGATGTGTTCGAGGAACGATGAGACATTTTCAATGCAATTTTTGCATACTCCTATTCCTGTTTGAATGTTGGAATGTCTGAGAATCGATGCGAATTGTATGCGTCGCATGTTGGACCTTGGGGAAGTTGTGTCAGCCCCAGGTAACCGCGTAATCACAGAAACTTTTAGCGAGGAAGCTCCTGCGATCATTACGTTTTGTACTAATCAACGATTTTACAATATAACTTTTAGGATAACATTTTCGCATTTTCTAGCTTCCTTTGAATGTTGGAATTTCTGAGTATCGAAACGAAAGGTATACGTCGTGTGTAGGGCCTAGGGGAAGTTGTTTCAGCCCTGGGTCACCGAATAATTACAGCAACTTTAAGCGAAGAAGCGCCTGTGATCTTTAACCTTGTGTACTAATCGACGATTTTACGAATTGACAGTCCTGAAGACTTGGATAAACGTCCTTTCGTTGCAATAGCTTGCATTTGATCGCAGTGTGTTTTGGTTTGTTTTTTGCAAGCGACAAGCTGACGTTTGCTAAAATGACGTATATGAAATGACCTGCTCTATAGCAATGCCTCAACACATACTATTAAACTTATATGCTGAGAGGTGTGTTCGTCTTTGTAATTAACAAGTTACAGACAATTATTTTTTACGACTGTAATATTTATTTTCTGTAGCTGGGCCCGTTTTGTGCTCATTAATGTCCGTATGCTATGATGTTATCATCATGTGTGCATGGTTCAAAATAACCTCTTTGCAGTGCCTACAAAAGCCAAAATGACGTCAGCCGACCCCAGCTCACGCATTTGACACAAAAACTGCGTCACTCGGGCGTATGCGCTCGTCAACAATCAATTCGTTGATGAATATTTGAATTCGCGTTCGTGGCCAATGAGTGCACATGAGTGCACTTGCGAATGACAAGTTCTATGGTGTGCTTAAAAAGCACGGCGGAAGCTTGGGGTCATCGCACCGGTGCCCTAGCATGTCACGACCGCGTGATTCCACTGTTCTCTTTTGAGTTGGGGATTAAAGCTGAGGAAGAAGAAGATAACAAATCAATTCATCGCCCCTTTAGCACGGGTATTGGCGAATTCGGGTGGTCAATCGCCGGCGAGCTCACGCCGGCGGCACAGGCAACGAAAACCGCGCCAGCGGCGCACCACGTGACCCTCTCCACCCGAACACAAAGCGCCTGCAACTGGCGTTTTCGTCTGCCTGGGTCGCTCGTGAACTTCGTTAACTTCTTTCACGATTATTTTATGATACAATAGGCACGCTCTAGGCATCAGCAACATATATTCGGACTCTGAGATGTGGGTAAACAAATTGTAATATATTTTGTTTAGATTCTCGAGGAACTGTTGCCATCTTACAAGGATCCTAGAAGGCTCAGCAGCGTCGCCATTTTATATTCCATTTTCTTGTTATTACCTTTTTGCTGGAATCCTCAGCACTTTGATTTGACCCAGCCCTCTAAAATAGTAATGCGCGTTCAAGTGTCGAGCTGCAGCACTATCAACACATTTTTTACAGCGGTGTAATAACACGCTGTGTCCCATAGGAAACTGATATTGCGGAAGCTTCCTTTAAAATATTTTATCTTTATCTCCGTTGTTTTTGCTGTCTTTCTCGGACCACAGAGGGGTGTCTGTCTCAGTGGCTTCGTTTTCTACTAGAACACGCTCTCGGCGACCATTGTTTCGTTTGGTTCCCTTTCCCGATTCGGATATGACGATACCGGATACAGTCTGGCAGACAAGCTGCCCGACCTCTTGGAGCTCGGGCAAAAATTGTGCCGGTAAATTGCCAGCACACGCCTGAGAACTGCCACCCGAACGGCGCGCACTCGCCAGCCTTTGACCACGCGAACGCCCTTGGCGGAGATATGGCAAAATATTTTGCCGGGAAATGACCACGCGAATTCGCCATATGTGTGCTACACCAGATAAAAATATTGACATTTTGCATGCCGGTAAACTTCCGGGCGACCACTTGGCCTGTCGGCAAGAACACCTCATATCCGGCATCCTCCTCTTTTGATGGCGTTAACAATCCTCTGTAGACCACCGTGCTGTCCTTCTTGGTTTAACCCCGTGGACTGTTCATCGCCCAAAACGAGGGTGATACCGTCGTCGACGTCGTTCCTCGCCAGTCGGTGAGATAATCTCATCTTGAATGAATGAGTGGGTCTTGAAGGAGTATGGTGCTAAGCATACATTCTCTGGGGCAGTCGAGCAGCAGTCATGTCCCAAGGCCTGGCAATTATGGCGGTCCTGTCGTGGCCGGCGTAATAGGATTTTGTTCCATAGGAGCGAAGTCCGAAAGTACAAGGACGGTACGTTCGTCCCACGAAGCGGCCGCCATCCCGGCGGCGCGGAAAACCACTCGCCTTGTCCGTGCACGCTGCTAATCGTCTCATTTCCCAGAAGAAACAGGCACGGCTCCTCCAGAGGCCCGTGCCATACCGCCATGCAAAGCGTCTTTTAGGTCTTTTACCACTTTTCAATTAACGAATCCCCCCTTCCCCTTCTTCCCCACTGCGGCCTCGAGCCATCCTTGTCATTAAAGGACTTCAATCAATCAATCAATTAACGAATGGAGATATCAAATAGATAAAGGCTGCCGCCCGGCGTCGCTAGCAGTACGGTTACCATAGAAACCTCCCAGGCCCAAAATGGAGATCACTATAGGCGCTTCTGACGTCGTGTATCTAGATAATTTTGCGTCGTGTCGCTACTCTGGCAGCTACGCTGCCATATAGAGTGGCTCTAGTTACCGTTAAAACAACAGCGCCGTCCGCGACAAAAAAAATAGTTATAAGCTTTTTTTTTTTTTTTTTCTCTAATAGCAACTGAATTTGCGCGATTGCATCTCTATCGATACGGCAGGAAAGAAAGACGAAGACATGTTACGTTTCAACGATACTGGGATCAAACGCTTTCCGAGAACAACATGGTTTTTAAACGATGTTTAAACAATCGCAGCCCTGTAATCGACCGCTTCCGCTCAAAACTTCGCCATAGCATTGACGCCCGCCCGAAATTCGCCATTAAATTCAGCGTATGGTTGTATCAAACTGTTCCCGAAGAGCTAGGTACGTACTTGGCGGGCGGCAATGTTGCGGCAAGGGACGTGCATCCAAAGATGGTTGGTGTCGCAGCAGACGACCGCCGGTTCCTCCGGGCCTCGCACTTGGCGCAGTGATACACACACTCCCGTGACTTGGTGACACGTGCCTCGTTGCGGCGCTCTTATTGGGTCGCAGGGGCCGTAGGCTTTACAGTTTGCCAAGTTACCATAAAGCGGTGAACACAAGCGTCGCTGCGGTCGCCGCGCCCTGGTTGGGTGAGGTGTGCCGTGACGTCAGAGGAAGGACTCCGCTTTGCGATCTCGCATCCGGCTTGCTTCTGTCCCCCGTTACCTGGTTTGCGATCATGCTCGTTAGGGAATTGTAGTAGACCGTTCCCGCAGCCCGCTAAGCACCCGGATAGCGCTCCGTAATCCGTCACAAGACCTTGAAATATGCAGAGAATGCTGGCGGCGCGAATGCGCAGCTGCGGCGCTTTCTTCGGGGATACCGTAGCGGAGGAGAAAAACGATCTACTACAACTCCCTATTGCTGAGCTACTGTTTCCCGAAAAGAAACGGTTTCAGCTTTCACCAACCGAAGATATGGAGGTTAAAGAGGGCATGGACAATCAAACTATGGATGGGAGAGGCACCGTCAACGTTGGCCGTTGTGTGCCGCAA